CTTACAAGAAGCTTTTCATCATGGCAAGAGGTAAAAAATTGAAAAAATTCGCAGAAAGAACTGAGTCTTGCTCTGGAAAGAACGTAAAAGTTACAGGAAAATTTCAGACAACCTGAATATTCCATTTACTATCGTTAGTTCATTCATTGCGACGGATAAAAACTCAAAACTGTTGAAAACCAAAGAAGAACAGGTGCTTCACGGAAGATTTCTTCAAGATCTTTGGTGAAATTAATGCGTCAAATTAAACAAAATCCAGTAGTTACTCGTCAAGAGTTGCAGGATGATTTGCTTTAATCAGAAATCTGTGCCACTAAACGGAAGAAAGGGGGTAATATCTTCAAACAAAAGAACACAGTTCTAACAGTGAAATTTGGTTGTGGCAGCAACATAGTTTGGGGATGTTTTTCTGCAAAAGTTACTGGCAACATATCAGTAATACATGGTAGAATGAGTGCTGCAGCATATCAAAATATTTGGGAAGGAAATTTAATGATTTCGGTTAAAAATCTTGAACTTTCTCCTGATTGGATCTTCCAACAAGATAATGATCCTAAACACACTGCAAAATCTATGAAAAAATGGCTTGCTAAAAATAATGTAAATATCCTGAAATGACTATGTCACTCCCCAAATTTAAAGCCAATCATGAATCTATGCCGTTATTTGAAAATTCAAATCCAATCGAGAACTCCAACAAACATCATGGATCTGAAGACCATATTCTAAGAAGAATGGAACAAAATACCAACTAAAATTTGCACAACACTGAGATTTAGTTATTACATATACATGGAAAGTATGTTTATTCATTAGTTGGAAATACAATAAATTAAAATTTTATGTGTACGAATATTTGGTTCCTCCACTATATATATATATATATATATAGATATATATAGATATATACTTCCTCCATCCGGAGATGCTTTGATATGCCACATATGTGACAAGAAATGCAAGCCAATGGCTGACTTTATGAGCCATTGTCGTTCACAAAACCGATTAATAGTGTTGTGGAGGGGAGAGTTTAACGGAAGGGTTGGTCATATTCGCTTGTATAGATAGATAGATAGATAGATAGATAGATAGATAGATAGATAGATAGATAGATCGGGTAAAACTAGAAAATTGGTCAATTGTTAGATTAAGCTATGAACTGTTGTATCTTAGTGATGTGGACCCAAAGTTGGGACCACGGAAGGAAAACACGGAACACGGATTAGAGGTAAGAAAGATATATTAAACAAAAGGGTTACAAAGATAGTGTCAGTGTAAGCGGAGCTTACTATGTGCTAGTGTCCAATATTGGTAGTCGTACGCGGCTGATACTACGGTATTAGAATACTCTCTCTCTCTCTCTCTCTCTCTCTCTCTCTCTCTCTCTTTCCTCCACTTCTCTCAGAGTGTTATATCGCATACTTTATATAGTCCTGGAAGAGTCCATGTTGTAGGTATGTTACGGTCTCAAAACACTTAGTATCTCTACTTTCAGCAATAAGAATGTATAATTGCTATCTAAGCTTAACAGAAGAATCGTGATGAAATCGATCATAAACGAAAATGACTTGTTCATCTCTGATTAATTATAGCTAAAGTTCGGAAGCTCATGAAGGATTGAAATTAATTTCAAATGTATATTTATATATATTATTCCACGATCATTATCCAACTTATTCAAGATGATCTTCGCCCTATCTAACCTTATAACTTTCTGTCATGGAATAACTAGGTGCCTCAATGGTATCACGTAAGATTTTCAAGTCTTTTTTTCACTTTGGAATCTCCTCTCTCACGTGACCAACCTATTATGGATTGAGTTGGATCTCCTCTAATTGATCTTTTTGCTTAGCTCTAAGTTGAAATGATGATCCCTCTTGCTGTTGTAACCTCCTGATCCAGTTTTCCTCTCTACTGTTTCCTTCTTTTTAAAACTTATTCACCGTTCTCTTGATGGCTCTTAAATGTAATTTAGAGATGGAAGTCAGGGGTTAGATTGTTGATACCATTACTGAAGGCCTGACTGAACTTTTTTTTCTCACGATTTCTCAGTTGTGGAGACAGTGGGGCTGACACAAAACAATTTAAACGGCTCTTTTTTTTTAGCTGATTTTTTTTCAGTGATTCTTACGACTAAATGTCTTATCTAAAAACCTGGGAAAACGAAACTCAGTTTTTATTTATTTTTTTTTTTTTTAGCTATTTTGTGGGATGGATGATTATTATGTTGTAACACGATTTGGACAATTTTGCTGTTACATCCTCTATATAAGAAGGATACTGAAAATACTATGGATTTAACATGTGAGTAAAGATGAAGTTTTAAAGAAAATGGGAACGAAAATTCTAAGACATATTATGAGAAAAGAAGCTTGGAAAATTCCGAGTAACCTAACTTCCGAATTCGTGTACATAAATGGCAGTACAATGAATGGAAAATGTAATAAAAAGACAGAAATTACTAAGAGCAACAAAGAATTGGAACTTGTAGATAGTTATGATCACCCATGTCATGAACCGACACGACACATAGAAGAAGCAGTACTTTAATTCAACTTATTCTAAACGCGCTATAAAAGATTGGTTAAGATGATTCAGATTTTTATTTTAGATATCTCACTAAGCAGGTCCGGGGCATACCACCCCCAGAACCCCTCGACCGGGAGGGACAAGCCTGATTGGGGGCCCTGGGCAATGCTTTGTGAGCTTCACTATCTTACCAATATTTGCTTTTTTATACGTTGCAAAAACTAAGCACAACTAATAAAGTATGAAAATTTTTCGCAGATTTTGACGTCATTTTTGGATCATTTTTGTCCAAATCCGTGATTTTTTTTGGATCATGCTAAGTCTTGAACAAACTCTGTATAAAATTCACGATTTTTATCCATAATGTTCAATGTGTTAAAATTATTCAACTTTGTAACAAAAAAAAACAAAAAAACTCTTGATGTTAAAAATTGCCACAAATCATTGTTTAAGATGGAATGATCTATTATGACAAGTCTCTAATTTGGCACAGTGAATAAAGGCGTTGGTTAGATCCAGTGACAGGACCCAAAGAGTGTGAGTTCAATATACGGTTAAGGCAGTGGAGAACTTTCAGAGGGGGGTTAACAGAAGATAACTGATAACTGACATCCATTAAACATGGCACGTGGAACTAGAACAGTCTACGCCAGTGAGCGAAAATAAGGGTTCAGTTCGACATTCCAGCCACCGGAAGAAGACCGGAGTGTACAACGGCCGAGACATTGTAATAAATATGGTGTCAAAGATGACAATAGTCCAAATAATGTAAATAGCGTACATAATACCTAATCTCAGAAATATAGACAGACACTAAAAAGCCGAAACGTTGTAATACATATGGCGACAAAGATGAGGACAATAGTCCGAATAATGTAAATAGTGTGCATAATACCTCATCTCAGGAATATAGACAGATACTGAAAGGACGAAACTTTGTAGTAAATAATTATGGCGACAAAGATGAGGACAATATTGTAAATAATGTACATAATACCTCATCTCCGAAATATAGACATATACTGAAAGGCCGAAACGTTGTAATGAATAATTATGGCAACAAAGATGAGGACAATAGTCCGAATAATGTAAATAGTGTATATAATACCTCATCTTAGAAATATAGACAGATACATTGTGTTTATTTTCAATTTTTCTTGTTGAATATTGCATATGATTCATTATTGTACATAATAATGTTACAATAAAATTTATATTTTCTATACTGCCTCATGAAAGTTGAGATGCAGTAAAATGGGGAGTGTCCCATATCATAGATTCAATGGGGACACCGGCCTTGTCGCTAAGCACAGGAAGTGGTATTTATGCACTCAGATTTCTGCACCTTTAGTACTAAGCTGAACATGCAAGTACATCCTATTAATTAGAGTCATAACATTAACCTGACCCGGCTTTTTTAGAGGATTCTGTTCGCAATGAACGAAAAAGAATTTGACATCGTTCTTATCGAGAGCGACTGTATGAGCAGAGAAAGCGATAAGACCAAAGAATGAAAGAACATCTAATATTCATCAGTTACTATATACGCAAGTATGAGTCATTTATTGTGGATATATCTCATGAAAATTGTTGAAAAGACACAGTATCGTTAAGGACATGTACAATTCGGATTTTGAACAAGAACAAAAGTCGTTTTCTTACAAATTTGATGTTGATCTATTATTCTTTTTTTAAATTCATGATATTTATGAGATTCATTAAGTCGATCTTAGTATGAAACAAAGAGAAATTTGGGAAAATAGTGGTTTTAAAGTTTGTGTTGGCCAAACTTTTAAGAGGGGAGGACCAGCCTTACGTTTAAAATTCCGAGATCGAACACGGTCCCAATCTATTAACGAATTTTACCTTTGCCCGTAGGAAATATAAGAAAAAGATAAACCTGTTTGTAAATCATTTTTTTCTGGATACTGCATTGCAACTTTTTAAACAACGTGCCTTTTACCAATGATCAAAGAATGGTATTCATAGTTTGATACAATGCCGACATATATAGTTGTAATGACAAAAGTACGCAGGCGTAGGCTTTAAGAAAGCTTTATTCAACTGAGAATACACGGTTCGCGTATAGTGTCCTTTTATAGTCCCAGTAAACGAAAATAGCTATCTCAAAGAGGAGAGTAACAGAACAAGGGGAGACCACTCTTTTTTATGGAAGTGCCTATTAAACAATGTCTCTACCTGTTGTTTGTCTTTGTTTAGCGATATATCACTCTTTATGGGCTATTTAATGCCGAAATTTAAATGTTCTGTACGCATTTTTTGTGGGGGAGGGGTGATAATAATGATTAAGTGATACAAATCTTTATCAACACATAAATGGAGGGAGAATAGGTAGAGTCATAGTTTTTCCATGGTGAAAAGTGAATATGATGAACCCAAATGGAATTAGATCACGGCTCTCCGATTAACAATTCCGAGGCATAATCTATTACACCACTCGCACATCCAAGCTTACAGCACCTGGTATTCCCAAGTAGCCGCCTTTCTAAGTACTGACCAGTCTCGACGTTGCTTAACTTCGGTGATCGGACGGAAACCGGTGTTTCAACGTGATATGGCCGTAAGTCATACCAACAGTACATTCAAGCTTACAGTATCTGTTACTCACAAGTGGTCACCTTCTGGTACGCACCACGCTAAACGTTGCTTAACTTAATTTGATTTTTTTTTATCTATTTATTATTTATTATTATAATAATTATTGTAATCATTATATTTCGATTTCGGCTATGGTTACACTGCCTACGAAATCTGCTGGAAGACTTAAGGCAAGTAGTGGTGTGTTGCTATGGCTACATTTCATGATTTGTTTTTCTAACTCCCATAACAATACTAGCATTACATGGACAATCACAATTGTATATGAATAATCAATAATTGTATTTGAATGATCAAATCACAATTGTATATGAATAAGCAATAATTCTATATGAAGGATCAAATCGCAATTGTATATGAATAATCAATAGTTGTATATGAATCATCAAAGCACAATTGTATATGAATAATCAATAATTGTATATGAATGATCAAATCACAATTGCATATGAATAATCAATAATTGTATTTGAATGATCAAATCACAAATTGTATATGAATAATCAATAATTGTATATGAATGATGAAATCACAATAATGCAGCACAAATTGATTGTACATCACGTTTAATTTTACTTTTTCTGTGCAGATAGTCTTTTAATATGATTAGTCTGACCAGAACCTTCGTTCTAGTCGTTTAATATGAATATTGTGTCCTTCACTTTTGTTACCTTGTACCTGATTAATCTGGCAACTTCAAATGTTGGTTGTAGTTAACAAGCAAATCGAGCAGAATATTTCCATTGCTTCGTAATATCCACGCTACACTACTTTTGTGATCATAAATCACAAGATCTTGAAAAGTAAAACATTAGATTAAAAAACAATATATTTTTAACATTGTGAACACAATATATTGGTTTCAAAGAGAGTATATTACTGAGCCAACGTAGATAAAAAAGGAAAAAAAAAATCATCGACTCTGTCACCGAAATATGCCGGTAACTCCATGCGTAGTCGTTCCAAGGAATGACGTGTTCAGCCGAGTGACAGTAACTACAGCGAATTTCGACCGTTCGACGGCGGAATCTGCATATAAGACTGAACTATTGACAATATATCCAGAGTTGTGATGACATGGCATCGCTGGGTGGAAGATCTCCTAGACGGAAGTCAATGGCCAAGACGGAGGGTTCTTTAGATGGAGTCAACGGTCATGTGCCCGTGACCAAGGCGAACCTTCAAGTTGGAGGACATCAGCTATGGTCTAGCCTGGAGAGTGTTGCGCTCAACTAAGTCTACTTGCCCAAGGCACACTACGCATGAATGAATACCTCACACACAGACACACACACACACACACACACACACACACACACACCACACACAGACACACACACTATTGCTATATACATAGAATTATTTGTGCTATCTATATATGTGTAAATATAATTTTCTCTTTTTCTTCCTTGTAAGATATATTGTACTTTATAGAGACGTATAAAATTCTTTCACAGGTTGAATCCAATTCTTTTGAAAATATTGACTCCATTTATTTATTGAAATTTCACAACCGTAACAGTTACAGATTAGCACATTTCGCTACAAATTGGTGACCAACAATAACCTCGTCCATAACTATCCCATAGTCCTTCTTTGCTAAAAGAATGCGATCACACAAGTACATGAGCTCACTCAGTAGCGTCACACTCCCGACACAGTAACCTCACGGGAGAATGTCTGTTCAAATGTGCATAGTAAGATTCCCTCTGATTGGTTGATAAGTTTCATACCGTCCCCTCCGCCAGTTATCGAGATATTAAAAAATGGTTGGATATTTTCCACTAAAACGTTGTACACCAGTCAATTAGCAAAAAAAGAAGCTATGAGTATTCTCTGAGAAGGCCATTCATAGATAAAGTGAATTTCAGATTCATTTTCTGAAGCCATGCAGGAAAAAATAAGACTATATCTTAGGTTGGATTTTTTTAAACTTATAAAAGCCTAAATATCTGAATTAAAATAACTCTTTCAATTTTGAAATGAAATATTTCTAAAAATGTAAAAATATTTGATCAATAGAGTCCGTTAAAGATAAATTTTATTGGATCCTTGTTGATTGATAAGAGCATAAAAAGAGGAAGACAATAAGAAATTTCGTAATAGAAACCATTAATAGATTAAATAATATTTACGCATGAAAGGAAGGAAGATGAATAAAATAAATAAAAGCAGGTAGAAATTAAATCTTGGAATGAAAAATAAAAAGAATGGGGAACCGAATAAAAGAATAATTGATAAAAATTAAAGGAAAAGAAACAAGGAAATAAATAAAAACGGAAAGATAACAATGACTAAAGAAAGAAGAAACTTAGAAAAATGGCGTAACTAAAGAAGTAGGAAGATAAAAAAAAACAGTAAATGAAAAATAAATAAGGAAGGCAGAAATATTAGAGAAAGGGGAAATGAAAAGATTTATGGTGACACTTTGATGCAAAGCTAGGAGGAGAAGTAAGAAGAATTAAAGAAAAATATGAGAAATAAGAATAAATCATGGAAGGAAAAAAACGCATTAAAAGAAGAAAATGAGATGAAATAGCCATATTAGACGAAATAAATAGAAATACGAAACCGGAAATTAGAAAAACGAGGCTAAAATGGCAGACAATAAAATGAATTTGTAAAAATCAACAAGGTCTGAACAAATTGAAAGCGAAATAGGCGCAAGAAGAAGGCTGGAATAAAAGCATGAAGAAGAAGAAGAAGGCTAAAGTAAAAGCGTGAAGAAGAAGAAGAAGAAGAAGAAGAAGAAGAAGAAGAAGAATTTCACAGGAAAAATTGAGAAATAAAGAAAACAAACATAAAATAAATAAAAAATTAGAAAAGACATATTTATAGGTTGAAAAAACCTTTCCAGATTTTGACATTCTTCTTCTTCTTCTTAATTATTATTATTATTATTATTATTATTATTATTACTACTACTACTACATTTAGTAATGTTCTCGTTTTCAGCAAGAGATAGATACAATGAGTGCTGGCAAACAAGTCGTACAACTACAGAGAGAAAGCAACTTTTGTTGAATATTTGCAGTACCAAGATGCAAATTATTATTATTATTATTATTATTATTATTATTATTATTATTATTTCTGGGACACACTTACTAAGTCTGAAAAGACCTAAGGCAGGTCGTGGTGTGTTGTTATGGCCACATTTCATGTTAATTTTTTTTTTTTTTTTTATCTCCGATTTGCTAGCGTTACATAGACAAAGTTCTCCTTAGTGTGTGTGCTTACTTAATAAGACAATTTTCTTCTTTGGGGTTTCCAGGGATTCTTTCAATGTGTTGTTTTGTTCCATTTTTATAATTCCAAGTGCACCTATTACCACTGGTATTATTCTTGTTTTCAATTTCCACATTTTTTCTATTTCAATTTCCAGGTCTTTGTATTTTGATAGTTTTTCAAATTCCTTTGTTGCTATGTTACAATCCGCTGGACAAGCCATATCAATTTAGTAGGCAAAAGTTTTTTCTTTCTGGTTTTGACAATGATGTCCGGCCTATTTGCTTCAATTTTTCTGTCTGTGTGGAATATTGGTGACATCTTCTATTTCTGTAACCAAGATGTTTGCAAATTTCCAAAGTTTTGCACATTGTCCAGTGTATTATTATTATTTTTATATTCATTATTAGAACATCCTGATTAGATGGTCTTTGTTTCGCAATTATTATCTTCGGTTTTTATTTTTAACCGGGGATTTTGCATTATAGGTTCTCATACGACTTCAGTGGGAGACCAAATTGCAGTGCTAAGCAAATTCGACTTCTGAAGCGATGGGATACTAGGATGTAGTACATTAAGGTCGCTGGTATAGATACCAACGCTCCAATGATAAATGGGACAACAATGGTCTGAAAGTTCCACATTCTGAAAACTTCAGTCTGGAGGCTTGTGTATTTCTTGAATTTATCAATTTCTTTGATATTGATATTGTGGTCTTCAAGAAACAGCTACGTCAAGGAGGAGGCGTTTTATCGTTTCTTTTTCAAAGACAGTGATGTCTGGATTGATGGCCTCAAAAAAAAAGGTCTTCTCGGTTGCTGAAATCCCATAAGATCTTGACTTAATCATTTTCGATTGCTTTCTCTATCTTGTGGCGATATCATTTCTTGTCGGAATCAAGTCGATACTTCCTGAGCCAATGCATAAGAAAGACAACGTTATCATGGCGGTCTTGATGTTCTTTGTGCTTTTTTAATCATTTCACTCGAGCAAAGAGACAATGACACGAGGAAGTGGGGGAATGTCAATAGGGAGTTAATATGAAAGAGAATGGGAAGACTGAGAATAAGAGGAGCGTGAGAAAAGGATAAAAAAACAGGGTTCAAGAAGACAAAATATGGCGATTGACGTTGCTTTTAAATTTTTGAAGCATGTATTCAGGTGGGAAGTGGGAGAAAATAAAACAGAGTAGAAATGACGTTTGCGTGTAGCTTAGAAAAATCACCATACCGGGTACTTAGAAGTTAGATACAGGCCTACACGGTTAGATTTAATATTATGTAGAATTTAGTGTGATGTTTTTGAATTAACAAGGGAGTGAAATATTCTCAAAAATGTGATCGTATATTTGTCTTTGAAAAGCAAAATATTAAAACAAAATACTAAAAGTAGACAAAGTATTTTTTCTTTTTATGAAATAGACGCAAACATCGAGTTAAGGCACACAGAAATATTAATCGACCAAATAAAATAGAGGTGACAGTTTTCTCTGCTTTACACGTACAAATAGAATTGAGTCGATGCATAGACCGAAAGAATGGCATCGATTGGCAATCGATGAATCGATCAAAAAGAAGGAAAACTAATACGTTCGCTCATAGAGACCGATTGGCAGATGTTCATGACGGGTGTTGTTTATTTGTTGTGTATTATTATATGCAACAACTACAAAACGACAGGTGTCAACATACAGCTTGATGACTAATATTAATAATAATAATAATACATGTCTATATAT